TTCTGCTCTGCTACCTTTAGCTTCTGCTCTGCTACCTTTAGCTTCTGTTCTGCTACCTTTAGCTTCATCGGGTCACATTAAGACCCGTGTCAGAGCGTGCGCGGCTGTAGAACTCACGTTTTGGCGCTGGCTTCTAGAAACAGTAAACCTGTTCAGGAGCAGAAACACGTGAGTCAGATTTCTGTCGGTTCGAGGCGGTTCTTTCAGAAACTCTTCTCACCGTTCTCGTCTGCGAACTGTTTGGCCTCCTCGTACGTCACGTCTCTCTGGGCCTCCAGGTCCGCCTTGTTCCCGATCAGAATGATGACCTGCAGGAACATCTCACATCAGGACGGAGAACTGAGACCAGAACCGAGTCTTCTCTCCTCAGCAGTTCTGAACTTTTATCTAATGGGGTGAATCCCTCTCAGGTCCTCCGGGGGCCTGAAGGCAGCCGGACCTGCAGGTTTTGGACTGTGGGAGGAAACCCACGAGGAGAACAAGCAAACTCCACACAGAAAGACCCCAGGTCCAAACCGGGGATTGAACCCAGGGCCTTCTTGCTGTGAGGCAACAGCGCTAACCACTGATCCATCGTGCTGGCAAGTTGAAAATGTGCACGGACTAAACTGAGTCAATCTGATGACTAGCAGCTCATCTATGGGTTTGCAGATGAAAACATCTGGAATAGAGTCCTAAAGTGTTGGGCAGCTGTGCTCTGAGCAGAACCGACCACGGCGTGGCTGCGCTCCCCTCGAGCTGTCCCAGTATCTAACTGGGAGGAAGTTTCCTCTCAGAATGTGACCAAATGGGCTTCAGACGTGTTTTAGAGACTGGAGGAGTGAGGTCATCTCTGAACCGCCCGTGGTGCGACATGGTCCAGGAGTCGAAACGAAGCTGGGGGTCCGACATCTAAAGCGGTTTCTGTCAAACCTTCTCCAACATCGTTCAGCTCGGACAGGAAACACGACCGGTGCCCGACCCGATCGGGATCACTCACCGTGTTCGGGTTGGTCAGGTTCCGGGCGTCTGTCAGCCAGCTGCTCAGGTGGTTGTATGTACTTCTCCTAAACAAACAAACAAACACATGTTTACAAACAGGAACAGTGAAAACATGAAGTTATTTCAGCTTTGAAGGAAAGAGAAATGTGAAACAGTGAAAAGGACTCATCGTACGGTAAACATGTAAATCATCTTACAGCTCTACGTTTAACATGTATAAATTTAAACTTGTGAAAACATACTTTTCAGATGTTTTGAATATTTTATAGCTGAGATTCTTAATCAGCTGACGGAAGAAAAATTTACTAGTTTTTTTATTATAAAAGTTTAGTTACTTTTGAACATATTTTTACAGAATAATCAAATGTTTCTTTAGAAACTCGGATTGTTCTGCTTCAGCGTCATGGTGGTCCAGAAGCCAACTTTCTGCTCCGCCTCTTATTAAACCACGCCCCCTAACCCCACACCCATCCACTGCTCCGAGTACCTGGTGATGTCATAGACCATGAGGGCCCCGGCGGCCCCCCTGTAGTAGGACCTGGTGACGGCCCTGAAGCGCTCCTGGCCGGCCGTGTCCCAGATCTGCAGTTTCACCTTCTGACCGTGGACCTCCATGATCCTGGTCCCGAACTCCACCCCGATGGTGTGAGGACAGTCCGCCATGACTGCACCCAGAAACACACGTCAACAACCATGAAAACAAACAAACAAACAAACAGAGGAGCTCTGACTGAAACGGCGCAGCGTGTTTCTTTCAGAACATCTCGTGAGGAGGTCCGAGTTTGAAGACAAATGTTTAAAATCTGCGACTGCAGATCGGTTGATATTATTTTTTATTAAAAACGTCCCAATAAAACGGGTCCAGTAGTGAGGAAAGGCTGTTTAATAAAAACAAACAAACATGTAAACATGTATTGTTTCCTTAACCTCCACAGGATCCCGACGTGGTAAAGACGCCCCCAGTTTTATTGTCAGCGTTTAATCTTCCTGAAGATGGACAAACGTTCTCACGGTTCAAGGACTAAAAACACGCAGCTTCGTTTCTGTCAGTGAACTGGTCAGTGAACTGGTCAGTGAACTGGTCAGTGAACTGGTCAGTGAACTGGTTGGTGAACTGAAAGCAGGTGTTTAACGGGAGCATCAGAACATTTAGATCTTTCTGATCAAACTAGAAAAACGTTATCAAACTCAAACGTCGGAGCTGAAGACAGAACTTACATTTCTTCTCGGTGAACTGGTGCAGCAAGCACGACTTCCCGACGCCCATATCACCTGAAGACACAAACGCATCGCGACCCAGAAACAACGTTAAACAGAGCGGCTGCGTTTAGACAACAGAACAGATCAGAACAGTTCCTGCAGAATCCAGATGAAAAATAAAAACGATGCAGTCGAGACAAAGTGCGTCCTCTTTCCATTTAAGGTTTTATCAGATCAGAACTTCAGAAGACTGGTTCCACAGGATCAGCCAGGAAATGCAGATTAACTGATCATCAGAGGGAACACGTATCTGCAGCAGACCGGTGTGTGTCGCCACCACACCAAGGCAGAAAGACAACAGCAATGACCCTAAAGAAGCAACTGTGGCTGCTCGTCAACCTGGAAAGGGTCAAAGGTCATGTCCAAACTCTGTGGAGTCATCTCCCAACAGAGAGACAGATTATGCACTAGTGGAAAACTTTTAAGATGGCTGTCAACCTTCGCTGCAGATTCACCCTGAAGGTCAGACCATGCAACGCTGAGAAAAATGGCTCCATTTCAGACTCTACAGGCCTCAGACAGGAGGTCAAAGGTCATGGTTTCCTCTCTCTAAAAACAACATGTCAGCATGATTTAGGTTTGGAACGTATCATCTGAAGGAACCACAAGACGTCTGGGCAAGAACCAGACCAGAGGACAGATGTTTACCCAGAATGCACTGCAGCAAATGCCTCGTACCAGGATGGGTGTTGAAGAGCAAACAACACTTCAGATCATCTGATGTTATTTCTTCTTCTTTAAATGTTCAAACAACGAGCATCTTCAGCCACAGAGACTTCTAACTTCCTGCACGTCATCGGACCAACGTGAGGAGGAAGCTCTTATTGTGACAGTGAGGATGAACTCACCTGTGATCCTTCAGAATCCTTTCAAAATAAACTACGATAGAAGAAACATGCTTTTGTTTTCCTAAATAAATGTGTGAAAAGATCAACAGAAATGTGCAGTTAGGCGTGTCATATGTCTTAAACGTCATATGATGATCATGTTAACTCTCAAACTTCATCCATTTTCATTAAAACTTCATCTCGTGGAAAAACCCCGACCATCCCTCCTCCAGCTGTCAGCACAGTGGTGGAGGCTGATGGTTTGGGATCCTGTCAGTCACGGAGTGTGCCAAGACCCCCTCTGGAGACCAAAGGCGAGTCCATCAGTCCAACAGCTAGAGCTTGGACCAGACTGGGTCCAACAACACCATGATCCCAAACACAGGAACTGATCTACAACAGAACGGGTCAAAGAGAAGAACCAAGGTGCTGCAACGGTCCAGTCAGAGTCCTGACTGAGATACTGTGCTGGACCTTCAGATAGCTCAGCAGAACCCCGACTGATGGAAAGAAGAGCGGGCCAGAACTCCTCCAGAACCAGGAGAGAGACTGATGAAGTCCAGACCACCACAGACCTCCTTCCTGCTGAAGGAGGTTCTATTGGATCAGAAGCTGGGACCAGTTTTTACTCAGTTTTAACATTTTAGTTATTCACCAGATGATTCTTACTACATCTGAGCTGCAAAGAGACATTTTAATGTTCCCGTTTATTTCACTTGATCTCTCCGGTCAAACTGCGACATGAGAAAGAACCAGTCTGAACTCTCCAGAACCATCTTCTGGACCTTCAGACCCGTGAAATGAACTGTGTTCGTTTGTGTCAGCTCCGTCTCTCTGGTCTGTGTCTCACTTTGTCTCATCCAACTGATTCCGTCACGCGGGCTGTGCACCTGAGCAGGTGTACAACCCTCTGCTGGTCAACTCACCGATGATGATGTATTTGAAGATGTAGGAGTAGTTGTAAGGAGCGGCAGTCATCGTGACTCTGAGAGAGAAAAAACAGGGAAACAGTGAGTCCACACCCGGTCCCAAAGTCCGAACCGGGTCTGTCTCATATAGGACCTGAACCCATGCAGGGACCAGCCGAACTGGACCCAGAAGCTTCACAGTTACAGAGCAGGAAAAGGAGTCATTGTTAGCGGAGGAGTTAAAGCCGATCAGCTGACTTCCCTCTCTGAGCTAACCGGCTAACAGCTAACAGCAGGAGGCCACTTTCCTTTAACCTCACAGCGAACAACAATAAATATTAAAACCGAACGGCACGCTGGGTAACTAACCGTGCTGTTTTACCTTCAGTCCGGCGGTGTGTCCAACCTGTAAACCTGGTTAAAGTGCTGGTTAGACCGACAGTTATCGCCGTTAGCTGGTTAACCTGCTGAGCCGTCAGGAAAGCTCTTTCGCTCTTCCGTGGCTCCGCCTCCTTTTCTTCTTCTACGGTTTTTAACCACCGTTCTGCATTCAGAGTGTTTACTGACCTCCCCCTTCTGGGTATGTTGGGGTTTACACTCTGTTCTGATAGCAGACAAATGGGATTAAAACTGTTTTCTCAAATATTTTCTTTGTTACTTGAAAATGTAATGGGACTAAAGAATGATTGTAACAATATTAACAATTATAAATAAATAGAAACAAAAGCATTGAAACACTTTCATGATATGTATCTGCAGGAATAAACTACATAATTGCAGTCATGGAAGAGTCTTTATTCTCAGCCAAGAAGAAAGAGTTTTATAGGATTATGTTTTTGCCTCCAATTCTTACATGTGTCCAGTTTCACTACTTTTTTTGTCTGTCTAAACAGGTCTCACTTGTAAATGAGTCTCCGAGGCTCATTGTGATTTATCGGTCTAAATAAAGGTTGAATTCAACCGAATTGTCATTTACAACTTCGTAACAAAATTCATTCAACCTTTATTTATACAGATTAATCACATTGAGCCTCGAAGACTCATTTACAAGTGAGACCTGTTTAAGACAGACAAACAGATAAAAGTAAGGAAAAGAGAAAACACGAAAAGTAAAAAGAAAAATGTATCCTGCCCATGGCACAGTGTGAAAGTTGAAGAAAAGACCTAGCACATAAACAGCACACAATGATGTCATGATACATTTATGAGAAGGAGGCCAACAAAGATGGTGAGTTGTCCGTTAACACAGCCAGAAAGTTCCATAGTCCTGATGAGAGATGGTACAGTGTCTATCGGCCGGCTCAGCTCTGATACGGGCCCACAGAACAAAATACATTTGAAAAAATGTGTATGAAACACAACTACAGCTGATAAACATGTGGAGATGATCCAACTCATGATGTCCACCACAGTCATTCAACCTAGACCTACATAAAAATATAAAATTAATTTATTCAGTTTTACAGACGTTGAGCTAGAATTTGGCGTGAAAATAGCTGAGTCATTCTGAACACGAGTGTGTCACATGAGATTATACATCATGTTATATTTTCAAGAATTGGCTGAAAGTGGTACAACGCCATCACTTGTGCAGATGATCTTAGCTCTCTGACAAATAGGAGGGCGGGCGATATGCATTCCATCACGAACGCTAGGCCTTAAATACCATTGTTGTCATGAAGCCATTGTGATGACAAACATCTGCTGCCTTCAAGGACCGCATCTTTTCCAGAGACGTCTTTACACCGAGACAATGTAAAACCACATTCTGCTCACATTCCAAAGGCAGAGGAGGGGACGGGTTCTGGACCGGCCCGGCTTCACTTCTGTCTCCAGTAGAGAAACCAAACATGTGATGAGGACGGCTGGACACCTGAAGACAAGTTCGCAGGAAGAATGAAGCATCACCATCAGAGCGCGTTTAGGTGTTGAGAGAAGGACCTGGACCTTCACTGAAGCTGGTTTTACTGGACCGTGTTTGGGCCTGAGAAAAGGAATGAGTGAATATTAAACGAGACAGAACTTCAACAAAACGAGTCAGTGTGAGGATCACTGCTGGTTTTGTTCCCTTCTGCCCCCAGTTTTCCTGACTTGATGTTGTCCATCATCTGGAGGCTCTTCTCTGCTCTTGTTGCTTGTTTTTCACTCGTTCTCACACATAATGAGGCCGCCGGTCCGCCTCCTCCCTCCTCCTCCGTGCGTTGAGGTCACAGAGAGGCAGAACTGGGCCGGCAGACCTCAGACTGCTTCCCACAGAACCAGCAGGCTTCAGGCAGGAGGAAACTGGAGGAATTCTGTTTTGGATTCTTCAGCAGAGACGCGAGCCTGAAGATGAGCTGCTGAGAACCACCGACATGGACAAACAGAAAGGTACAGAAAGAACCGGACAAATCCTCCAGAAACACTTTAATAAGAGTTCAGCTTGAAAAGACAGAGGAATTATAACTGTAAAAACATTCTGCGTCGTTTGAGACTAACTGAGTTTTACATGTTTTATGTGATGAGGTAGTCCCAGACATTTGAAACAAACTGGTTGTTTTTTATTTTATTTATATTTGATGCCATAAATCAATCACTTTGCAGTTCAGGTTTCAGATTAGGAGATAAAACTAAAAATAAATCAGTGTATTCTGTTCAGATCCAGTAAAACAACTAACATTTCAACAAAAAACATTAAAATATCTAAACATCTAAAATATTTTCATCCATAATATTTATTTATTTATTTATTTGCTTGTTTGTTTAAAATTTTTAAGAGGATCATACAAAAGAAACCTTGATTATGCGCAGTAATTTATTCTTTGTTTATTTATGGACTTTAATTATTTCCAGGCCATCAGAACATCAACTGTTAAAACTGAAGCAAACATAAAATAATAATAAATTAGGATGTAAATTTTCCAAATGTTAATTAAAACTCACAGATATTATAAAAAAAATTAAAAAAAAGTCTGGTAAAAACTAAAATAAGCGAAGAGTGAATAAAATCTCAGTTTGATATAAAATGTTGCTTTTTTTTAACCCCCCAATTTTTTTCAATGTTTTTTTATTCAAAACATTTGATTTCTGTTTGCATGCTTTTGTTTGTAAGGTTTTGTTCCTACAATCAGCCCGTAAAGGATCAAATTATGAGAACATTTAAGGTGGTACCTGCTCGAGCTGATTGCTGGAGACTCAAAGTTAAATCTCAGCTGCAGCTTCGGTCTGAGTGTTGGCGACCGGCGAGCCGTGCGGACATTCACGGATCGTTTTTGAACATCTCAGCTGATTTTTGTTTACAGCCTGAAAAACTGAATTCTCGTCCACACACGTTATCCTGATCCATCTGTGCCCTCAACGTGCAGCCGCCCCCATGCTCTCAATCCAACTGAGTTCAGGGGTGAAGACTGGCAGGTCTGGTCCAGCTTGTCGTTTTCTGAGCTGAACCTGGGGTCTCCTCCGTCAGAGGACAGCTCCATCAGGTCTTGCAGCTCCTAGGAGGCGCTCACCGTGACACTTTAAGCCAAACTGTTGCACAACTTTTATAAATATGTTCAAAACTGAAGCAACAGAAAAATGTGACTCTGTGAAAGCCTCCGGACACCCAGAAGATCTCAAAAGTTTTTTCTAACGTTTCTAATATTTGTACAATAAAAAGCAGATATTTAAACTCGTTCAGGCTGAGGAGTTATTTGGATCACTGGGTTCCTCTCAGGATCCTGGATCAACCAGCTCTCCAGTGAAGCGGCCTCAGCCTCAGACTGCTCTCAGCGTTGGTTTTATGGTTGTAGGACGAGAGTCCATCAGATCAAGGTGACCCTCTTTAACTTCAGATTCTTCTCCACGACATCATCAGAGTCTTAAAACTTTTAGACTTGTTCACTTGGCTGTGGTGTCAAGAGAAACAAATACTCACTGAGGAAACAAATGAAATAACAGCTGATCACAGAAGAACTTCAGTGGTGGATTCAACTTCACGGATGTATTTTTATTATCTCTAAAGAGATTTTTGAGTCGTGCAGTGGATTATAAAACTTACAGTTGTGCTGTTATCACATTTATTTAAACAGAAAGGTGTCTTTGTGTCAGATCTGTGACATTCAGGTGAGGCAGGTGAACTCACAGGTCAGAAGGTCCACACTGAGATGCGGGTCTCCTGTAGTTCCTCTCTCTGCCTGTAGGGGGCATCATCACGACCCAGCTTCTTGTTTTAATGGAGTCCTTATCGCGAGTTGGAATGTTAACAATCGGAAACGCTCATGTTTGATCCTCCATCATCCTTCCTCCTCCTCTTCATCATCCTTCCTCCTCCTGCTGGTCTCAGGGGACACTGATGGGCCGTTTGGACTCATCAGATCTTTGCTTGTTTGTGTCCTTCATGGATGTAAACCAACCATTTAGGCATTTTTCTCACATGACCGACCCTTTTCTTCCCCACAAAATTCACAAATCTCATAAATCCATCCTTTATATATATATAAAAAAATAATAATTTGAAAGCAAAAACGCTGCAGCTCACTTAATTTTCCAGTCCATCCCTCTGATTAAAGCTCTATCAGCCAAAGAAGAAGCCATGTGGACACCACCCAGAACCGCTGCCGTCTTCTCTGGAGTTAATTTCAAATGGACTGAGGTGAAGTCCAGAACTGTTCTGAGGTCAGACGGATCCAAATCTGAAGTTCTGTTAAAATCACGGCTGCTACGACCTTCACAAGAACAAGGAGACGGGCCATCCAGACTGTTATTTGAACTGTGTGAACAGACAATCACCTGTGGAAGTGTTCCTGAGCCCAGAACAGAACCAGAACCAGATCTGGTTTAAATGCAGTGGCCCCTGAGGGCCTCGTCCTTTGAGCTCAGATTGCTACAGGTTCTTCTCATCTGTAGATCATATCATGAGCTGGAGCTGGCGTTATAGATAATCTTCAAGCCTTACTAGAAACACAATGATTGGACAAATCCGGTCCTTCTGATGGTTTACGTCAGTTCTCTGGTCACACGGACAGCTGATCGGGTTTGAGGAAAAAGCCGCTCAGTAATATAAACGTTCTCTTCTGCCCTATATTTACCATCCAGAAGATGAAAGAGCTGCTCCACACCCTGCAGAACACATGTTACTACTTCACTTTTCACAAGGACCCTCTGCAACAGAACGTCTTAATGAGCCCAGAACCAATCTGAGGCCAACCTGAGCCCCAGAACCGCCTCTGAACCCTGAAATAACCCTCTGAGGTCCGGCTGCGGCCAAAGTGTCCTCACAACACAGCGGGTCCCCACATGACTATAAATACTAACGTCCCCACAAAGACAGCTGGACACACATACACACACACACACACAGTTTCAGAAGTTTTGCTGGATTTCCATCTTTCAGATAATTTCAGGGTTCGGTTTTTCTGGTTTGGAGACTTGAATCACTTTCTCTGAACTTTTCAACTCAGGAGCGCTCAGACCAGTTTCAGACCAGTTTCAGACCAGTTTCAGATCCAGCTTCAGACCAGTTTCAGATCCAGTTTCAGGTC